ACCAGTGCTACCAGTGAAAAAGTTAGTCTGGAGCCCTGAATAGTGTTTTTTTTCATTATTTAGGTTAAGTTTGATGAATGGTTTTGAAATTTAGTTCTGATAAGTCTTAATAATGTTAAATTAGATTATGATTACAATATCCTCCAAAGGAAGTAGAACATTTGCATTCCTGTATATAGTTGTGCTGATGTTACTCATATTCTAATTTCTGATTTAACATAAAAGGGCATTTGCAGACTGCCCCCCCCAGCTAAGATGTTCACCAGCCGCCACTGTGTTGATGTATCATAGTCGCTGTATTTAACACTTTCAAACATATCATTTTTACTTTCTTTAGTATACACCTGTATAGATAAAAGACAATTTAAAATTACAATTATAAAACCTAAAACTGATGCACTTGATAAAAAAAAATCAACAGGAAAAAGTTCCCAAAACACTTACGTTTTGTCCCACACGCACATTATCACAAACCCCTGTCCTGTCCCCTGCTGGTCCTGCATGCACGCATATAGGGGTGTAGACAACTCTTACATTGTCAGGAAGATTGTCATGGGTCACAGTTACTTTCGAGGACAAACTCTGTCATGGATGACAAATTTGACAAGACTGTGAGATACTGACAGAAACAGCACAAAATGGTCAGGGAATACCAGCAGTTTTAAAAATACATGTACATATGGAATGACAAAAGTTGTAAATTAATACACAATGACAAACTGCAACTTACATTGTAGGCAGTTTCAATCAACTGAACAACATTTTTAGAATCTGATGACAGAACTCCCACTTCAGATTTTGGAATCATTTTAGAGAGGTCCTGGAAAAACATGAAATAAAAAATCACGCTGAGTCTACATTTTCTCTTGAACAAAAAGAAAGATATATGGAAATAGAAGTGAAAAAATGTACCTTGTAGACACTCTCTACATTTTTTGTCACTGCAAATATGGGCTGAATATTGTTTCTTTCCAGCGCCGTAGCTAGTTGTCCAACTGATGGGTAGTCCTGCAAATAGCAGTCAGGGAAATTTTTCAATTATTTTTTAAGGGAGTGGTATGAGGAAGACACAGAAGGGAACTCTTTTTCTTCTGCCTTAGCATTTTTCCTTTGACTGTTACAATCACATTCTTGCATCTCCACCATATGTACAGTGCTGTGAAAAAGTATTTGCCTCCTACAGTGGAGAACCTTCCCACGAGTGGCCGGCCAACCAAAATGACCCCAAGAGCACTTGGGGTAACTGGACGACTTGCTGTGATTGATGGAACCATGACTACTGTTCTCTAACAGAAAATCCTGAAGGAGAACGTTCGGCCATCAGTTTGTGACCTCAAGCTGAAGCACACTTGGGTTCTGCAGCAGGACAATGATCCAAAACAAACCAGCAAGTCGGCTTCTGAATGGCTTAAAAAAAAAAACTAAATAAAGATTTTGGAGGGGCCTAGTCAAAGTCTGGACTTGAATCCGATTGAAATGCTGTGGCATGACCTTTAAAAGGCCGTTCATGCTGGAAAACCCTCCAGCATTGCTGAACTAAAACAATTCTGCAAAGTAGAGTGGCCCAAGATATCTCCACAGAGGTGTGAAAGACTCATCGCCAGTTCTGGAAAACGCTTGATTTCAGTTGTTGCTGCTGAGGGTGGCCTGACCAGGTATTAGGTTTAGGGGGCAATTAATTTTTTTACACAGGGCAAGGTAGCTTTGAATAGTTTATTTCCCCAAATAAATAAAATCATCATTTAAAAACTGCATTATGTGTTTATGTCATGACCCCCCAGCCTCAGCCCCAGCCCTTTCCTGTCTCCCCCTTTTTCTCCCTCTCGTCTCCCTCCTCTCTCTCCCTCTATGTCTCTGTCTCTTGCTCTCTGTCCCTCTCCCTCTCTCCCTCTATGCATCTCAGCACCCAATCAGATGATCACTGACAGCTGCAACTTCAGACTCACCTGCTCTTAATCACCACAGCTCCCATAAAAACTCTGTTCATTCCACCACACCTTGCCAGACCACAGACTAGGGGTGTCCAATCTTGGTCCTCAAGGGCCACAATCCTGCATGTTTTAGACGTTTTCCTCTTCCAACAAACCCAATTCAAATGATCAGCTCATCATCAAGCTATGCAGAGGCCTGATAACGCTCCTAATCATTTGAATCAGGTGTGTTGGAAGAGGGAAACATCTAAAACATGCAGGATTGTGGCCCTCGAGGACCAGGATTGGACACCCCTTGTCATGCCCTCGATTTCTGGTGCCGGCTAGTGGCGGCTGGTTCCTGTTTTGCCTCCTTCTTTGGCTCTCTCGCTCTCTCGCTCTCTGGCTCCCTCTCTCTCGCTCCAATGCCAGACTGTCGTACCATGCAGTCAGTATTTCCTGTGCATCCATCTCGCCGTCAGTTTGTTTTACTAGATTTCTAGACTTTTTTGCTACCCAGCCGGATCTGCTACCGACCACCACCAACCATCCACTGGTCACGGTTCATCTCTCACCATCTGCCGCCTATCCACCACCGGATTCAGCACTACATCTGTCTGCCCTGGTTCCTGGTTTCAGCCATTCTCCGGTTCACTCTGCCGCCAGCTGTCGCTCCCTGCTCTCCGTCTGTATTGAGCCAGTTAAGCCGCCACCACTCTGTCTGCCGATTTTTCAGTAACTGCATTTAGTGTGTACATTTAGTCTGTCATAGATTAGTAGTTTTTCCCAGTTAGTCTGTTCACCTTTCAGCTCTTTGTCAGTCTGTGAGTACCTTCGTCAATGCTGTTTAGTTTCTGTCTTCTCAGCATTTAGCTTTGAGCTCCTTTCGTTAGAAGTTTAGTGTTTTGTTTTCTCTCAGTATTTGTCTGAGCTTCTTTTGTTGTTCTGTTAGTTTCTCAGCATTTTTTTAGTCTGCGCTCCCTTAGTTCAAATGTAATTTTATTTTCTTATTGCTTACTCAGCATTTTCCTGAGCTCCCTTAGTTCTGTTATTTTCAGTCTGTCTCCCCATCTTAGCACTTAGTTGAGCTCTTTGAGTTAGCATTCAATTTTTGTTTCTTCCTAGCCAGTCAGTACCTGGTGTTGGCTGTGCTTTTTGTAATTATCTTGTTTTTGGATTCTCTTTATTTTGTAATTGTTAAACTGCCTTGGTCTACCGTGTCTCTGTCTGCGCTTGAGTCTCCGCCCTGCCCGTAACACCCCTGCCATAGACATTCAGCCCTCAGGTTTCTGCCAGTACCTGCTCTGTCTCCTGCCACCGATTCTCACCCTGCTTCCAGCCTGGATTCCCCGAGCCTGTCTGCCCTCTCAGTTTTGTCCCCTTTTGTGAGTATCTCCATCTTGTTTTAGNGTTAAAGTCAGTAAAACTCTCAACTCTCTCACCCAGGGACATGAAGAACGATGACATCATCATCTGCAGCTTTAATGCTGATTGACAGCTCAGTGCAGCTGGTCATGTGACTCACTGACAGTCTCAGGCAGAGCAGACAGAGAAAAATGGCTCCTTCAACTTAAAGCAGGTTTAAATTGTGTCAAAATGGAGGTCAGACGGGTCCAACACAGACCGAGGACCCGACCAACGCTGCTTGCAGCTTTAATTATTATTATTACTAATGTTGTGTTGGTGTTGTGTTGTACTAGTACAACAATTTCCCTGAGGTACCCTACCAAAGGGATCAATAAAGTTCGATCTATCTATCTATCTATCTATCTATCTATCTATCTATCTATAATGGATGGATAAAAATACACTTTTATTTTCTATGACAATAAAATAAGAATACGGTCAAACTACAAAAGTAAGCAAAACATTTTAAAAATCAATTCAAAATCTAATAGAGAGCCAGTGTAGGAGGCAAGCACTCTTCATCCTGGTAACAGATGAAGAAGCAGTGTTATGAACCAACTGGACATGGTGGAGAAGGGTCCAGGCTCGCTTTCTTAAGTGCGTTGTCACAATCAAACCGAGAATGATAAAGGCATGTCGAACTCTTTGTAGATCATTCATTGATAGAAAGAATCCAATTGTAGCAATTATATTTAGCTAAAACTAATAAGACTGAACATTTTCAACTTTATCATGAAAACAAAGGATATTACTCCAAGATTTCATGCAACCTGCCAACTATTATTTGACACCTCACCAAGATTAGCTCCAACAGAGCTGATGAAATTTGGTGGACTGAACTGAATGACCTCAAACTTATCACCATTAAATTTAAGGACATTTTGGGTTTAAACATCAAGTATAACTGATTATTGTTGGCATAAAAATTAAACTATAGATAAGGCAACAAAACTAAAAACAGCATAAAAGCGCTAATTCTACATTTTTTAATTTGTTTGTAGTATTATTAAGAAATGACATTCAAATGAACTGTCTCACCTCTGCCCACTTGGATTTCTTCTTTTCATTCTCAAATTTCCTGAACTCTTTCAGGTCCTTCATGTAGATGAGCAACTTGATTAGCATCAGAAGTATAATGCCAATGAAAGCCACAGCCGCAAGAGACCCTGCGATGATAGCTGTGACACTTGGTGGTTCTGGACAGTCTGGAGGAAAAATCACAAATTACAGTAAGCAAGTTTTACAAAGTGCAAGAACAGTGAAGTAGTTTAAAAAAAAAAAAAAAAGTAATTATATATAGATAACTGTATATCTTATGACTTTTTAATATCATACTAGCAAAGTTGCTCTATGGAGGGCAATGTTTAGTCTGTCTATTTTTGTCAGGTATTCGATACATCAACATGCTGGCCTAATGATCCATTCACCCATGATCTATACACCATTTAATCCTCACTAGGGTTGCAGGGGGGGCTGTAGCCTATCCCAGCTGACTTAGGGAGAAAGCAGGGGACACCCTGGACAGGTAACCAGTCTATTGCAGGGCCACACTTGTAGACAGACATCCAAGCACACTCACATTCACACCTACGGACAATTTTTAATTAACCTCAACATGTTCTTGGACTGCCCTGGCGACCTGTCCAGGGTGTCCCCTGCCTTCGCCCTAAGTTGGCTGGCTCCAGCCCCCCCACGACCCTAATGAGGATTAAGCGGTGTGTAGATAATGGATGGATGGATGTTCTTGGATTTGTGGGAGGAAGCCGGACAACTCGGAGAGAACCCACGCTGCACAGGGAGAACATGCAAACTCCACGCAGAAAGATCACAGGCGTCCTCACCGGGACGCGAACCGGCGACCTTCTTGCTGCGAGGCAACAGTGCTACCAACTGCACCACCTTGCAGCCCTGGCCTAATGATGGTTTTGCAAAAAGTCAGAGGCTCACCAAGGTTAGTATAAGAACTTGAACATCTAAAGCAAATTTCATGGCACCTCTCATAGTTTTGAACGTCTGAACGTTGGGTGGTCCAACATTTTGGTCCAGCGTGATATCTCGTCGACTACTGGGTAAATTACCATGAATGTCTCGCAAGTTTCCTTGGTCAGCCTCTGATTTTTTATGTAAAACCATCTTCAGGCCAGCGTATTGATGCATCCAATAACATGCAAGAATAGGGCAGTGGCTCAGGTGGTAGAGCAGGATGTCCACTGATTGGTTGGCAGTTCAATCCCTGGCCCCTCTGCATGCCGAAGTGTCCTTGGGCAAGACAGTGAACCCGAAGTTGCTCCTAATGTCACAGGCACTTTGTATGGAAGTTCTGTCACCGTTGGTGTATGAATGTGTCTGTGAACGGGTGAATGAGGACCTGTAAGTGCTTTGAGTACCACTAAGGTAGAAAGGCGCTATATAAGTGCAGACCAATTACCATGAACATGGTCAGTATTACACCTGCTGAACATCAGTCTGACAAAACTGTCACTGTATTAATACTACAATGAAACTATGAAAATGTTCTTCAGCGATTTTAAATGTTTGTCAGCCATGTATAGGCAGCTGTAGTTCAAATGGTAGAGTGGGTTGTCTAAAAAATTGCAAGATTGGTCGTTCCATTCCCAGCTCCACTACGTGCCAAGTGACTTTTTAAAGTTATTTTTTGGCCTTTGTGGCTTTATTAGACAGTGTAGTGAGAGAGAGACAGGAAAGTAGGGTAGAAGAATGGGGGGAGGACATGTGGGAAAAGGTCATGAGCAGGATTCGAACTCATGACCTCCACATTGGCACTGTAGCCCTGCACTTGGCACACCAGTTCAACCAGGTGAGCTATAGCGGCGCCCCATGCCAAGTGACTTTTGAGCAAGACGCTGAACCTTTCAATGACAGGCCAGCACCTGCCACCACTGTCACTGCATGAATGTGTGTCGAGAAGCTGTAAATAGGTCCACACAATTCATCGTTGAGTTTTCTGTTCTTCTTATCAGCAGCTTACCTCTTTGTTTCTGAATTTCAGCCGTGTAATTATCCTCTCCAAACAACTGCTCCAGCTTAAATTTAATCCAGCATCCCTCACTGTCCTTCTGCTGGCACTCCTTGCCTGGTAAGGCAAAGTTGTCAACCATCATATAATTGATGTTCTCTCCACAAGCCACAGCACAGTTCTTTTTCAAGGGACCAGAGTCAAAGCCAAGGCATTCAATGCAGTTCCTGAAAACAAGATAAAAGTTTGGATTAGAAAATCAACAGGTAAAATGAGGAGCTACTTGATTCTTTTATGATCAAAAACTGGGAAGTCTCCTTTTGAAATTTAATGAACCAATTTTTAAAAAAATATAATAACTTAAAAATAGAGGCTGAGTGGTAAGTTCAGACTGCTTACAGTTTGGTCTGGCATGGGTCTGGGCAGCCAAGGCATGTCTGGCATTGTGGCCGTTGGTATCCATCCTTACATTCACAGCGGTTGCATTTGCAGTCCCCTCTGCCATAGCACACAGTGTTGTTTGGGGTACGACAGCCCTCCTCAGACACCTTGCACTGACAGGCAGAACCCTCAAAGCCTGGAAAGCATTTACATACTCCACACTTGCAGTCGCCATTTCCTAGTAAGGAATGGAAAGGAGAGCTCGTCTGAAATCAGCACCAAATAGTGTAAAAATGAGGGCTGTCATGTCCACAGCAACTAGTTGATTGGTTGGTCAATATGTTCTTATCCAAACAAATTCTCATTAGTCAGACAATCACTCGAGTTACTTTCATAAGGAGAAAAGCACTACATCAACAGCCATCAAGGATTAATCTGATATTTATGGCTAGCGGGTGTAACAGACGACCAGTGAGCATTCTTGCGTTTTCAGAGCACTGAAATAACCTGACCTAACGAAGACTGCTAACTTCTCTCGAACTGATTGCCTAATTTGTTTAGCATTTACAACACATTAAAAATTGGCTCCATGCTAATTGATACCATGTCAAATAAGTCCTCAGTGTGGCTGCATTTTGTTAATACCTAGTTTTTAGCTGGTTAACATGTCCATATGCTGTTTTTTATATGCTATAAGAAAAATCACGAGTGAAAGAAGGTGTCAGCACCATGGTCGGTCATTTCCACCCTGAAACAGCAGTGTACAAAACTTCTCTCAAAGTTTCAAAAACAAAAATAAGCTAAAGAACCTGTCGTGTCAACTTGCCAGGTTGGGCTTTCTAAATCATTACTATTCTTTAGAATTGGTTTCTTGGTCCAACAGGTATGGAGGGATCATTCCAAAAATAAAATTTGCCATGGTGTATCATTGAATAGTTTCATATCCCCTGTTCAAGTCTAGTCTGGGGCAGTTTTTGCCTGTGACCCCTCTTCTTTCCGATCGATTGGGTTTTTTTTGCAATCCATTGTCCTTTCCTCCCTACTATCTTGATATACCTAGTTGCACTCTACAGCTAAATAGCAAATATGAATGCAAAGAAAGCAGGTTCCCAAATGCAGATGAATGAATGAAATGAAATGAAATGAAATGAATGAATGAAATGAAAATGAATGAATGAAAATGAAATGAAATGAAAAATACTTCATTCATCCCAGAAGGGAAATTCAATTTGTGATTTTTTTTTTTTTTCAAATTTCAGATGTTATAATACATAGTATTATTGTGTTTGTAAAAGCAGACACTTAAAAAAAAAAAAAGACTGCAGCTCTACCTCCACACAGCTTATTCTGGTAGTTCTCACAGTGTTCATCGTCGCATTCGCAGAACTTGCCGTGGTACCGGCTTCCTTGGTTTGTGCTGTGGCACTGGCACCTGCCACACACACAGTCTCCTCGACCCTCACACTCAGTGTCATTCTGCCTCTGACAGGATGCTCGCAGGGAGTGTTCATCTTTATTACCTAGGGAGCACTCACAGGTCTGACCAACGTAACCGTCCATGCAGCTGAATAAGGAAAGGTTAGACAGCACAATAAAACTCCAAATTAGCAAAGAAAACTAAGAAGTGTTTTTAAAAAGTAGCTTTCATCAGCCGCCGCCCCTACAGTACATGACGCATTTTCTAAATGAAACTTACTTTTTTAATATTTTCCACACAACACCCTTTCAAGTCACAACACTGTCTCCTCTGTACTTCTCTTTGTGTACAGTTTTAACAAACAAAATGTTACCTGGTGTGATTTAAAGGTGCTCGCATATTTTCTAAACTTTGGACAGAGCAAGGCTAGCTGTTTCTCCAGCTTCTAGTCTCTATGCAAAGCTAATCACATGAGTGTGCAGACTCTCATATTCTGCCCACAATACTCCTAAATGTTCAATGCAAATCACTCATTAATAGGAAGGTGGTCACATATTATTATTTGCATATTATTCCAGAAGGGAGTGGAGGTTGTGTTACATGATGCTGCCACCTGCTGTCACCTGTGTTAATTCTAGAAAAGGAAAGTTACCCAAATTAAAGTATACAGTCAGACACTTTGCTGCACTACCAATGATGAACAAAGAAAAATATAACCCTTTGCAAAATCACAAAAAAAATTTAATTATTTAAAATTGTATCTTATAATAATTATTAAGTACTAGAATGAAAACATCATTTAAAAGTTTATTGTTGTCCATCAATTATTTAAGAAAGGGAAGAAGGGAAAAGTGTGGTAGAAAAAGCTACAGAAGCAACAGGGAATACTGCAGCCTTGAAAGGATTGTCAAGAAAAGCTGATTCAAGAACTTGGGAGAGTTTTACAAAGGGTGGACTGCATCCCACAAAGAGCTACCGAGCACAGCCGGGTTCAGGAAGGAGCTGTTGTACTCCACATATCAAGACAGTCCTGACAACATCAGAAGTTCGTATCTGGGCTGAGAAGAAAAATGACTGGACTGCTCAGTGGTCCAAAGTCAGTTTTTTGTTGTTTTTTTTTTTTGTTTTTTTTTTAGGTCAAAGTAAATTTTGCATTTGATTTGTGAATCAATGTCCTAGAACTTGGAAGAAGAGTGAAGAGGCACAGAATCCAAAGTGTTTGAAATCCTGAGTAGAGCTTCCACAGTCTGTGATGTTTTTTTGGTTTCGTGTAATCTAGGGTTGGTCCACTGTGTCAAGTCTAAAGTCAAGGCAGCACCTCCCAGGAGATTTTACAGCACTTCATGCTTCCATCTGCTGACAAGTTTTATGAAGATGCTGATTTCTGTTTCCAGCAGAACTTTGCCACCTCCCACAGAGACAAGACCACAACCAAACGATTTGCTGACCATAATATTACTGTTCCCCACAAAAACTCATGGAGAAGCTGAAGGCTACTATTGAAGCAGCCTGGGCTATAACACCTCAGCAGGGCCACCGGCTGATTGTCTCCATGCCACTCAGCACTGATGCATTTGTGGTAAAGAAGCGCCAACCAGGTATTGAGAGTAGAAATTAATATACTTTTTAGAAGGTGGACATTTCTGTATTTTAAATCCTATTTTTTATTGATCTTGGGAAATATTCTAGAAATGTGAAATAAAGGATTTCTGATTTTCATGAGCTATAAGCCATAATCATCTAAATTAAAGCAGAAACAGCTTGAAACGTTTCACTTTACATATAATTAATATAGAATAAATGAGAATTTACCCTAGCAAAAAAATAAAACTAATTTTCATGATGTTCTAATTTTTTAAGATGCACTAGTTCGGCCTGCTGTCACAGCCATGTTTGCAAAAGCAAAGGCTGATGTCATTGTCTGTGGTTTTATGCCACTGCACTCAGACAGGGCACTTTTGGAGTCAGATGTTGCAGATGTATTAACAGGTGTCCTGCTGCCTTTAAATGGCTGCAGGGGTTTATGGAACTAAAGAACAGACTTTTCCCACAGCATAAACCTGCTAAGAACAGATTCTGTCCATAAATAAATAATAAACCATATTAATTGTTTCGTTCCCATTTTAACAACATCAAATGTTATTTTAGTTCCTTCACTGGCAGTGGAACGTACAGAAAACTCAGGTACATTTTAAGCATTGCTGTGCTCTTTACAAAAACACCAACCGCCTGCTAACAGAGGTCATAATTCATACAATACACTGCTCGTCAGGAAAACAAGGATGTGTATTGCCCACATGTATCCTAACACACTTATACAGTCATTGTTTAGGAGGTGAACACTTACCTGCAAATACCACAGTTGACGCTTCCTCTGTTGCTGCAGAGTGGATGGGCTTTGTCTGTCGGGTCTTTACATAGACACTCACATTTGGTAGATAAGGTCACTGTCAGTGTGTCTTTGATGCCCAGTGGTCTGATGGTGAAAGACTTCTCCTCCATACATGAGTCTGCTGTCACAGTGACATCAAAGGAAATCTGGAAAGGGTCAGACATTTGTGCAATAAGTGAAACATACACTTATTGCCCCCCCCCCAAAAAAAAAAAACTACAGACAAGTAATTCAAAAGTTAAAACATTTCCATTCTTTTTCCCTAATATTCAAAGCCTTGGACTTGTCTGTTCTAGCTCCTCCTGAGTCTTCATTCTCAGTTGGTGCTGCTTTCTGCTGGATGTCTGCTTTGCTACTTATTCTGTCTTCAGATTTTTTGAACAAAATCAGCTAAGGTGTTCACGACAATGACCAGATAAAAAGTAGTTCTCAAAAACAATATTACATTTGAATTAACAACATTCATATTCTTTTGTCATATTAACATCCTCACTAGGTTCGCGGGGGGGCTGGAGCCTATCCCAGGTGACTTGGTGACCCTGGACAGGTCGCCAGTCTATCACAGGGCTACACTCAGAGGCAGACAACCAAGCACACTCACATTCACACCTATGGACAATTTAGAATCACCAATTAACCTCAACATGTTCTTGGACTTGTGGGAGGAAGCCGGAGAGAACCCATGCTGCACGGGGAGAACATGCAAACTCCACGCAGAAAGATCCCGGTGCCCCCACCGGGACGTGAACCGGCGACCTTCTTGCTGCGAGGCAACAGTGCTACCAACTGCGCCACCTTGCGCCACCTCATATAAACAATATTTGTATTATTAACAGATTTAATATTAGTCTCTACTGCGAGTTTACAAATTCTACAATTCCTGAACACATGAGTGTGTATGTAGCTCAAAAAACTTTTTGTGATCATGTGACCTTGGCCCGGGCTCTGATTGGCAGCTGCAGACTTTCTCACGGGGCACAGCTCGGTGCGTCCCGGACCCACCCAATTTTGCTGTAAGCCAATTAATTTTGTCTTTATTTGCTTTTTTCTTCTGTGGTTGGATATCAAAACTGTCCTTTGACGTTCTTACAACCGTGCTTTCTGACACCATCACACGGCCTTTCCCCTCTTCTACTTCACAGCTACTGACTGATGGCTTATTCTTGTATATAATATATGTTATATTGATTTAAAAAAAAAAAGAAAAAAGAAAGGTGAGCTTTTACAGGATTGAATTTCCCTTCTGGGATGAATAAAGTATTTTTCATTTCATTAATGCATCGACCGTGCTGTCAATGGAGAAAAGACCGCTCACAGTGATGAGTGACTTCAATCGAAAAGTCATAGAGAAGTTTGCTGAGCAGAAAGAGAGAAGAGACAAATTTTTTGTTCACATAGCTCCAGACTGCATTTGTGACCTTCTTTTTGAGAATGTGAATTGATGAACACGATGATCATGAAGCTGTATAAGTGTCGTTGTAACCGGCACAGGAAGCTACTGTGTTAACCACAGTGGTGGAAAGTAGAACTTTTATGACTTCGGTGTGCTGCAGTATTTACGCCTAAAAATGAGGTCTTCTCATGAAAAACAGAGCACACCTGCATTCCCTGTTTTTCCGCTCATAGAAAAGACCACATGTAGAATACATGTAACTGGGTTTAGCCTCAGACAAATCTGACGTTAGAACGCCCCAGTTTATTATTTTTAAAGTCATTTTTGGTCACACACCTGTCAGAGCACTCCACAGCCACCAAGCAGCAGCTACCACAGCCGGCTATTTAGGGAGCATCAGTAAATAGTAGCGTCTATTGATACAAAAATGTTCAGCAAGTCATATGTTTTGCCTTTGACCAGGTGGGAGGTGGGACAAAATGAGAAAGTGGGTCGCACCAGTGCTACCAGTGAAAAAGTTAGTCTGGAGCCCTGAATAGTGTTTTTTTCATTATTTAGGTTAAGTTTGATGAATGGTTTTGAAATTTAGTTCTGATAAGTCTTAATAATGTTAAATTAGATTATGATTACAATATCCTCCAAAGGAAGTAGAACATTTGCATTCCTGTATATAGTTGTGCTGATGTTACTCATATTCTAATTTCTGATTTAACATAAAAGGGCATTTGCAGACTGCCCCCCCCAGCTAAGATGTTCACCAGCCGCCACTGTGTTGATGTATCATAGTCGCTGTATTTAACACTTTCAAACATATCATTTTTACTTTCTTTAGTATACACCTGTATAGATAAAAGACAATTTAAAATTACAATTATAAAACCTAAAACTGATGCACTTGATAAAAAAAAATAAACAGGAAAAAGTTCCCAAAACACTTACGTTTTGTCCCACACGCACATTATCACAAACCCCTGTCCTGTCCCCTGCTGGTCCTGCATGCACACATATAGGGGTGTAGACAACTCTTACATTGTCAGGAAGATTGTCATGGGTCACAGTTACTTTCGAGGACAAACTCTGTCATGGATGACAAATTTGACAAGACTGTGAGATACTGACAGAAACAGCACAAAATGGTCAGGGAATACCAGCAGTTTTAAAAATACATGTACATATGGAATGACAAAAGTTGTAAATTAATACACAATGACAAACTGCAACTTACATTGTAGGCAGTTTCAATCAACTGAACAACATTTTTAGAATCTGATGACAGAACTCCCACTTCAGATTTTGGAATCATTTTAGAGAGGTCCTGGAAAAACATGAAATAAAAAATCACGCTGAGTCTACATTTTCTCTTGAACAAAAAGAAAGATATATGGAAATAGAAGTGAAAAAATGTACCTTGTAGACACTCTCTACATTTTTTGTCACTGCAAATATGGGCTGAATATTGTTTCTTTCCAGCGCCGTAGCTAGTTGTCCAACTGATGGGTAGTCCTGCAAATAGCAGTCAGGGAAATTTTTCAATTATTTTTTAAGGGAGTGGTATGAGGAAGACACAGAAGGGAACTCTTTTTCTTCTGCCTTAGCATTTTTCCTTTGACTGTTACAATCACATTCTTGCATCTCCACCATATGTACAGTGCTGTGAAAAAGTATTTGCCTCCTACAGTGGAGAACCTTCCCACGAGTGGCCGGCCAACCAAAATGACCCCAAGAGCACTTGGGGTAACTGGACGACTTGCTGTGATTGATGGAACCATGACTACTGTTCTCTAACAGAAAATCCTGAAGGAGAACGTTCGGCCATCAGTTTGTGACCTCAAGCTGAAG